TGGCCGGCAACTGAATTCTTGCGCCTTCAAGCCGGTTTGGCGGGATGCCGTGCATATCATGCATGTGAAGTGGCTGGGCCTGACCGACTATGATAAACATTGCCCAACCTGCCTCATTCTCCTGCTAGTCATTGTCGCTGCATACTAAGGCTGGCATCATTTTCGCTGTCATTTGTGGTTGCTGCGTGGCGGAAGCTTGGCTGGTTGATAGCGTGCAGAAGTCTATCACGGTATAAATTTGAGCTTGGTTTGAGACTACTTGCCAGAATTCATCTTTGTATCCGACAAGCTATGTCTAGCTTACCCCCCACAATTTAGCGTCAACCCGCGCTTGTCCAGATGGAGAGAATCTGGTAGAGCTGCAATCTGCGCTGTCCTGGGTGCCAATTTGGTAGATAACTGTAGCTGCGTGTGGACAGCGCCTGGCTATGTCTGTTGTTCTGTCTGCACAGCTTTACGCTGCCCAGGGCTTCATGTACTCCCAGCTTTGCGCGCGGCGGAACCGCCGCCAGCCACCGTTGCTGGCATCGCAGCCTGCGCAAGTGCAGGCGGGGCTTGTCGAGATGCGAAGGTCGAGCTGCATCCTTCTTAGATTCTTAGATTCCTTAGATTCTTGCACGCTTACCGCACAGCTTACCGCAAAAGCTGTACACAAAGAGCCGATTCCCTCGCTGAGGCATCGCGCTTTTCGATGCCCAATCCATGGGCCGCGGGCTGAGGCTCAGGGTAAGAGCTGAAGATGGCACAAAGTCATGTCCAGCGTATGGCTCCAGTCAGGCCCTGCAGATTTCGTTTGCACGTTTCTCACACATTCACCTCGAATCCCGATACAACTTGTGAAACAGATAAGTGCAAGGAGCACCAGCGAACTCCGGTCAGCTCAGGCCCGCCAAGCTGTGACGCCTGCACCTGCACCAAGTGCCACAGCGCCGTATGCTGCACAGCCAGCCGCGTCTGCGCCGCCGCAGGCGGGCGCAGCTTTGGGGGAGATGTCGATGCCGTGCCTTTCCTGGCAGGCCCCGGGCCGCAGCGGCAATTCCGCCCCGTCTCGCTTGCTGCAGCAGAACAAGTTGGGAGCCTGGAGTGCAGATGTGGTCTCTCAAACACTGCTTTTGGCCTCAGGTGATCGCCAGGCAGGGGGTCATGACACTTGAGCCACTGGCAAAACTATCAGAATGTCCACTGGCAAAGCTCCAAGTTGTCTTAACAGAATGTGAGAGTAGTGACACGAATCAGACAACTAATTAGTAGGTCAGAAGATTGACGTGCCGGGGAATGTGCTAATGTCCCTCAAGTGAACGGCGCTCACTGATGCTAGCAGAGCTTGTCTCAAATGCTTTTGCGCTGTGACTGACGAAGCAAGCAGATGATTGTAAAGGCACTTTCCATGATATATTTTTTATTCTCCATCGCTCTGAGGCTCTGACTGCTTGGGATTGCTGATGACCACGATAGGTTTTGCAAAGACAGTACTGCCCGTACCACATCTGCCTGTACCATGCCTCCCCCTGCTCGAGGTACGGGAGGGACTGGCCATGTGGTCTAAGACCAAGAAGGCCGACCTTCGCTTTGCAGCTGGATTCCTCGAACCAATGCTGCTGGGTCATGATGCAAACATGATCTATTACGATGTAGTGACCCAGACGTGTCAGACGAGATTTCGTTAATAAATCAGACGAAGCCAGCCCGTAGGGTGATGTCGCATGCTTGCACACTTGGTGCGACCATGTTGAATCAGTGTAGGCAACACGTGTTGCACAATGCACAGTGCAGGCGAAAATACATGCTCTCTGAAGACACAGGCCAGTCGCATGGCGACTGAAGACCCCTGAACGTTGAGACCCTTCTGCCAAATTGCCACGGCAATCACTGGACAGGCACTTGTAGTTGGTTTGCCAAAGCTTTGTCCGTATTTCAAAGTGATTATTGTACAACGTTGGATGCTTGCCAGTAAAAGACATGCACCAGTTGTGCCCTAAGATCCAGCATTGACCGTGGATTGCCCGGCCAAACAAGCCGGGATAGATGCGCATTTCAGGCAGTGCGGAGCGAGCACTGGGAAGTGGAGTGGGGTGCTTTCATGAGAGTCCTGAAAGAGGGGCTCAAGAAGAGCTCACGCCCAGCACAGAGCTTGCCCAGCTGTAGCCAGCCAATTCTGAGCATTTCGACTGAGCCTTTACAAGCGATTGCATGAAAGAGGCAGAGTGAGAGAGAACGACACTTGCCTTGGTCAATTGGCTCTTTCGCAGCCATGCCGACCGCGCAGCTTGACTGGAAGTGGAACACGTTTGTCTCAAAATGCACCTTCGGCTTCGACGTCTTGGCTGACAGTGATCATGGTGCTGAGGGCACAGGGTTCTAAGAACATGCCAAGCTGCTAGGTTGTGGAGCAACACTGAGCCTTTGCTCTGACCGGCATGCTCCCAGGAAGCCAACAAACATCGATGCCCAGCGCATCCTTGCCATTATGGACCTCGAGGGCTCCGGTTTCATACTAGGGGGAGTCAGCGGCGCGGTGTGCATCTGTCAAGAGGCTAGAGGCTGAAAAGGGCAGCCCACAGCTATTCATGCCGAAGCCATCTGAATTTGGTCTTGTGCCATGTGACCAATACAAAGCCAGGCACATCCTTCCCCACCACAATGCCCCGTGAGGACGAGCTGAAGGAGAAGCTGACGTTCCTTTCCTTTGTTTCAGCGCAGGCAAGGCTTCTGGAAAAGCAACTCAAGAAAGAGTCTTGTCGGGATTTCGCGATATCCAGCATATTCTTCTGAACGCTTTAGAATTGGATGCTGGCATGCAGTACTTGCCGTGACTCGTGAAGGGAAGTTTGACGCTGGCCAGGTTCTAGCAGGCCTTCAAGGTGAAGATGGCTCCGCCACAGTGGAAATTTTGGGGACTTAGCCTTGGGTGTACCGCGTCCGCCATGGTTTTCTTGGCGATGTCGCACAAGCACTATGCTTGTTTCATGAAAGCTCCTGGTGAGTGAGCCCAACAAGAAGTATGATCCTGAAGTATTCTTTGCTGCTTGCTTTCAAGAAGTGCAGGCAAGTTTCGCCTTCGCTTGAGGCCAGAACTCATGAAGACCTTCTCAGAGCAGCTGAGGCGCTGTCATGTGAGGCATTGCCAGGCCTAAGAAGCAGTCATTGTATTTGTGCCTTTGAGGGTCTAGAGTCACCAACTTTCACGTTCAGCTCTCTTCGACGAGGTTTCGTGAATGAGCATCCTTCGCACTGATCAATCATCCCTGGATGTGCGATGAAAGCGTCAGGCAAATGCTGGAGATAGGACTTGCAATGGTCACGACCGGAACCGATCTTGCTCTCGATCTTGCTCTCGATCTCTCTCTCTCTCGCTCTCTTGCGGGCTGTCAGGCTAGAGGATTTGTACGTCATGGCCAGCAACGGAGAGGGCGGTCATCCCACCATCATTCTACTGGAGGTTTTGCATGACTGCATGTTCTGTGGATGACAGTTGCTCTCAGGCCTTCCAAGCTGGGTTTGTTGTGGGCAGCATCTTTGTAACCGCTCTACAAGCCCATTTTTCCGCAGCTGCTTTGCGTCTGACGCTGGAAGTAGAGCATTTGACGTCTCAGGTTCCAGACACATAGTTATAATATTGCCAAATCCTTTGACACGGAAAATTGTTGTCTCTCATTGCTTTGGACCAATAAGAAGACCAAGTGATAAACCCATTTGCCACCTGCCTGAAGCAAGCATTTGTTTGCGTGCCAATTGCTTGTCGAGCCCTACCAGCCCCACCCAACTACTCAGATCTGTCATGCACGCATAGACCCTGCACCAGTAGGGCGGCTTGGCCTGGCGAACTCAACGAGGCCCAACGAGTTCCCCTCAGAAATACCCTCAGAAATACGAGGGAAATGGGAGAGCTCAGGAATCTCAGAAGGCCACGGGGTGCGTATGCCATGTGCCTCCGATGTGGCGATTGCCATGTATCTGGCTGGGTGTCGCTGCGCAGCGATGCAGTATCGGCCCCAAGGCGGGATGGGAGCTGAGAACTGCCGCCTAAATGCACAAAACAGGGCGTCCGCTAGTCAAACAGGGGTTGCCAGTTTCAGAATCGTGGCTTGGACTACCACCGTGCGAGTGGCGGAGAGGCAAGAGATGCAATCAATGGCCACTATTTGCAAAGGGAGGTGCCATTATTGTTACACCCAAAGTGTAACTTTGGAAGTCTGAATGAAAATATGTCATGGTGGCAAGGGCTGCCCAAATTTGTGGCTTGATTTGCCTAGACACAGGCAACACTGACAAGGAAAACCCTAGGTTGGAGGCTCCGGCTTTAAATCATGCCCGACTAGCCGCTTAGCCCAAGAAAAAGACATGAACCCACACGGAGCATGCATTGAAGACATTGGACTTGAGGCACTCTCAAATCGAAGCAAATATGCCTGGCAGTCAGTTCATGGATGAAAAGGGGAAGCCTTGACAATGGTTTCTGATTGGACTGTGAGCACCGTGCTCGTTGAAAGTAGCAAGGGCTGCGCCGCAGCGAACAATAATTATGCTCTCCATCATCCCTGGCAGGAGTGTCGAGCTATGGCTAAGTCTGCAGGGGGGTCAGTCGGCTAGAAGTCTTCCGCTTCTTGACAACGGTTGTGTAAAAGACAAGCTTGCCATGTCCTGAATTCCTTCTATGTTCAACTTGCTGCCTGACGGGGCCTTCCTCAGTGTGGGATGGCCGGGACAGATATCTCTTTGGCTTGCCAAGTGGCCAAGTTTCCAACTTGACCGCTCAATGTGGAAAGCCTCAGTCTTGACTACGTGATGGCTCCCACTCGTCGGGCGCGCCAGGCCCAAGCAGCAGAAGATGGCGTGGCCCTGCGCTGCAGCGCGGGGGGCTGCCTCGTGGCAGCGGCGCAGAAGGCCACGGAGGGGCTGCGCTGCCAGCAGCTCCAGCTGGAGGAGACGACGTGAAATTCAACGAGACAACTCAACAAACGAGGAACAAAAAAAACTGACCGCTTGGAATTGCTGGAAGCAAGAGCCCAAAGAGCCCAAAGAGCCCCAAGAGCCCCAAAAGCCCAAAGAGCCCAAAGAGCCCAAAGAGCCCCAAGAGCCCCAAGAGCCCCAAAAGCCCAAAGAGCCCAAAGAGCCCCAAGAGCCCCAAGAGCCCCAAGAGCCCAAAGAGCCCAAAGAGCCCAAAGAGCCCCAAGAGCCCCAAGAGCCCCAACAGCCCAAAGAGCCCAAAGAGCCCAAAGAGCCCCAAGAGCCCCAAGAGCCCCAAAAGCCCAAAGAGCCCAACGAGCCCCAAGAGCCCCAAGAGCCCCAAGAGCCCCAAGAGCCCCAAGAGCCCCAAGAGCCCAAAGAGCCCCAAGAGCCCCAAGAGCCCCAAGAGCCCCAAGAGCCCCAAGAGCCCCAAGAGCCCCAAGAGCCCCAAGAGCCCCAAGAGCCCAAGGAGCCCGGGAACTGGTTGGCAGGATCTGCGTGATTTGGCCGCGGCAGCGTACCTGGCAACGCCAGCCACGGAGGTATTTGGAGTCGCAGAGGACTGGCACCATGTTCGTGTTCGGCGGACTTTCTGTGTCTGAGGGCAACTGCAGCAACCAGACCTCCGCTGTTCGCAGGAGCCATCTTTGCCCCTCAAAGAAGGCCGCTTCAAGCCCGAGTTCTTGGCATCCTTGCCGCCGGCTGCTGGGCAAGGGATCAGCAACAAATGGAGAGGGATGGACAGACTTGGAGAACTGAAGACTCGACTTAAAACTTAGAATCACCGGAGCACCCCAACCGGCTCCACCCGAGGCTGCCACAGCAATGCTGCTGCGCGATATGCCCATGGTAGTGCCTGGTCACCGGGCAGTCGGCACCGAAGATGAGGAGCGTTACAGCATTTGTGTCAATCTAATGGTCCATACCAAAGATCCGTATGATTTGGACTTCAGTTGTGTCAATCAGGGTTGAAAGTGGATGGCGCCGGTTTTAGTCAAAGCACTGATCATCAGTGTTTTGAAAGCGACCCTGCGAATCCGGCTTGCCCCAGGAAGGCCCAGAGCCCAGCTTCCTGACCTTCCCCTGCGAGCTCTGCGGCCTCATGGCCGACGACGCAGAAACCTGGCTGCGTGCGGACGCCCGGAGAACTGAGCGAGGGGGGGAGTCTGTGGGAGGCTTCAGGTTGGCTCAGTGTGCAAGACTGGCGTCTTTCTTTGGGGAGGTTTTTTTTTTGCGTGTCACCAATGGGGCTCAGTTGTGGTTGTGAAGCTGGGACGGAAGGCTTGGCATCGAGCTCCGTGCTTGGGATTGTTCAGAGAATTCGCAGTCGGATTTGTGCGTCATTGGGCCTTCCAGGCAGCCGGCAAAGTTGCCGCAGCTGGTTTGGTGGAGGTTGCAGGGCTTGAGCCCCGGAAAATTCCGGTACCGTGTGTTTGCGGTGACCCGCGCCGCTCCTTGCCTTCAGCGTCTCATGCGAGCCACCGTCTCTTTTTGCCAGAAACACCCCCCCACTTTGGTTTCTTGTCACCTGCTGCCAGGTTTGAGCGTCAAGGCTCAAGCTTGAGGAGCCTTCTTTCCCTTTGTTCCCGTCACTCTTGGGAGCCAATGAATGTAATTCGGCTTGCTACAATCCCAGGCCCTGCCAGCGCGCGAGCATCTTGCTAGGGCCTTCGTCTTACTTGTTTTTTCCGCTTTCGCCGGGCAGCCCCGTTACCGCACCCCGCTCTGGCTCTTGCGCAAACCGTGCCTGCCGCCAACTGTAGCTGGTGGTGCCCTGGCCATTGGGCGGGCTCAGCGTGTCTCGCTGCATCCATCCTGTGCTGCGGACTGCGGGCCACTGCTCACCTCACTTGCAGGAGGCTCAGCTCGGCTTTGTCTTTGAGCCACTGACGGTTGCCTTGTGGAGACTCGATGCAGTCCTGTTATGCTTGCAGTTAGTTGCTTGCGCTTCGGGCTGACATGCCACCCAGTCTCCACTGCTCGGCCGGCGGGATTCTGACAGCCTTGACCACGACGCCGCGCCGCTTTGCCCGTCCTGCCGATGCGCGGCGCTCTTGCCCTTGGTGCAGCGAGAGCACGCTGCCAAATCTGGTTGGGTTTGCTTTGCTGCGGCTTCCGCCCCAGCGCGTGCTGCCCAGGTTGCCGAATGTCCTTGGGCCTCGCCGTCATGCCTTGGCGCTTGATCACCCTGACCACCGCATGGCATCGCCCACCGCGCCTGTCCGCCAGACCATGGCTGAGCCTGGCCTGCGTGGTCTGTCTTTGCCCACAGCTTGCCCTTCCCCTTTTTCCGTAGCAAGTTGCTTTTGCTGAGAAGCTTGTTGGCAGACCTGTGTGCCTGTCGTGTGCCGCGTGGGCGCCTTGATGGTACACGTGACTTTCAACCTCCAATTCGCTCCAACTTCAATCCAAGCAATCAGCAATCAGAGTGTGAGGCAAGTGATTTGGCATCAAGACTGGACGAAATGCGACGCAGAGTTAAGATGGCTTAGATCTGCCTCCTCTCGGTACGGTGGGAGGTTTGTGTGTGTGTGTGTGTCGTCGGCTCAGGAAGCCTGACCAAGACTTACTCGGACCCTGTGGGCGGTGCTCCAATGACCGAAGGCCTGAACGAGCTCCGTGACTTGGCTCGTTTCGCAAGGCTCATTTCTGTTTGCGGTGCGTTTGCCGAAAGTCATTTTAGTAAGGCGGCTGTTTGATGACTGCTGTGGCTAAGTTGCCAGGCTTTCGCCGTTGCTAGCTGTTTGTCTTGGATGCAAGCTGCCGACAGCTCGCATCCTATCAGCAAGCCTGTTGTCAGTGCGAGTAGCTGCATGGCCGTAGTTCATTGAAGCCTTCTCGCTTTCCGGCGCTGACAGACAAGGTCTGCCGGAGAATGAGCTCACAAGCACTTCAACACGTATGCTGCCGCATGGCCTCTTCAAGCTATCCTACCTAAAAGGCAAATTTGGTGTCGTGGTGCCTTGGCCAGATTCGCTGCCGGTGCTGTGACATATTGATTGCAAATGCAAGATTTCCGATCATTCGGATCATTTTGAAGAGGACATATGAGTATTGAGTTTAGCTTCTTGCTTCCTCCACCTGGCTTCCGCGGCTGTGGCGTGTTCCAAGTGAAGACTTTGTTAGCATAGCCTCGTTTGGTGATTTTTGTCCCAACTCTTTCCAGAAATCATGCGCAGCTTGACTCTGTTGTCCGTTGCTTTGCGCTGCGATTGGCGATGGGAGTCTTGCCTAAGGTGGGAGACCGCGAAGGCTGGTTCCTTTCATTGCTGCTCTCAGTGGGAGTGATACCTGGCTGATGTCATTCGAGCCCCCGATGTCCCCAATTTTTCCCAAAAGGCCCTGGTTTTTCAGGGCCGTCAAAGCTGTTGAGGCCGTTGGGCCATTTAGGGCGTTTGTGCCGTTGTGGCTGTTGGGACAGCTCAGGAAGGACAAAACCCACTCGGTGCACTTCTGGAATCGCTGGATGGCAGATGTGGAGGGCCAATCTCAGAGCTTGGCTGGCCTGCAGTCTGCAACGCCCCACCGAGCGGACGGGCCTGTGCAGAGGGAAGGGAACACGACAGAGGTGTGCAGTTGATCCATTTCCCCCCAAAAAATGGTGAAGCAATGCTAGCCACATTCAGCGGGCGGGGTAGTTCACTCGAAACATCGTGCAGGAATGGGTCTTCATCCCTCCCGGGGTGCTGGATGGTGCTGGCCTGGATCCCTCCACAGGCCAGGATGCATTGCTGACCATTTGCCCCTTTAAAACTGATTGACGGTTGCCATCACACTTTGAGAGCCAGTTGGCTGCAAACGCACATCCTATTCTGCGCAAGCGATGTTGAGGCCCACCATGACATGGTGCTTTTCCTATGTATGCGCTATGTGCTATCTTGACCTGAACCTTGTTGCACCCTCGCAGTCTTCTGTGGGCCCATGGGAAGCCCATGGGAAGCCCATGGGAAGCCCATGGGAAGCCCATGGGAAGCCTATGAAAAGCCGATGGAAGTGCGTGCGTCTCAGGTCGCTGGGATCTCAACGCAGACTCAGCGCTCATGGACCTGGTGAGCCAAGCGCTGACCACCGGGGGCCGTGTGGTGGTGAGCCTTCAGGAGTGCTTGGGGTCCAGCGCCTGGGTGGTTTGGGGCAGCTTTTAGGGAGGGTTCCGGAGGGGGCTTCCGGGCTGCTGGGAATATCTCCTGCGTAGATGTTTGTTTGATTTGCGTCAAGTCCAAACTGTTGCGGTTGAACAAGTTGAGAGAAGCTGTTGCAGGTCGGTGATGACTGCCTTGTCCTGCGGAAGGGCGCGGCCTTCAGGGCTTACGGGCCGTACCTCTTGGGCAAGGTTCTGGAGAAGTGGCGCGTCGAGGCACGCAGTGCCCAGGTGCAATGAAGTGAACTTCAGGGAGGAATCATAGGAAACGAAGCACAATCAGTGATCAGTGCTGACTCCTAAGCATCCCCATGCGATGGCAGGCACATTCCGTGAAAGTACCTGTGCCACGTAGAGCTTGTGTCCGGAGCCTGCACCTTGTGAGACTCCAACTCATTCGACCGTTGTACAGCCTTTGCAATGTGTTGACATTCCTGCAATCATGCGAAGCATGACAGAGCAGTTCATCGTCGGATAGCCAACGGGCAGGTTGCTAGTCGATGACTAGATGACTTAGATGCCAAAGTGATGCAAGCACGCCCAAAGCACGCCCAAAGCACATGGATTTTGGGAGCCGCCAGGCCCACTTGGAATACCCCACCGGGCTGCGGCTGACCTACGGCCCTTGCCGCTCTCGTCCGGCTGTGCTGGTGCTGCGCCACCAATGGGAACGGCACCCGGCCGCGCTGCTGTCCGTGAAGCGCGACTTGGAGAGCCCGTTCAGACGTCTCTTTTCGTGATAAGTGGTTGCGGTTTGGCCCTTGGCTGAGTGCAAGTTGGCGCAACGGTTCTCACCTCTTTTGGGGCAGCTCCGACGCAAGTGCATTGGCATTCTGGGGAAGGCGAGCCAGCGAGGTATTGATATCATGCCAAAGCTGTTCTATGCTCTTCACCGTCGTCAACTGGGCAGGGCAAGCCGTCACAGCGGCTTGCAAGGTTTTAGACGCGACACAATCACAATCGAGCTTTCATTTGCCAGCTTCTAGATTGTTGATGTGCACTGGTCACTGGTCGTTTGCTGCAAGGATGGGGATTGGAACGTGACATTGAAATATCGGCATTTCCTCTGCCCGGCGTTTGGAGAATCCTCAGCCTCATCTCAGGAAGAGAGGAGGAAGGCCTTTGGGCGGAAGACCTGTACTTCCGCTGCCTGGCGGCAGTTGTCGTCGGCCCGTAGTCCCTGGACGTCGGAGGCCATTTCTGAAATGGCCTAGTACCCCTCGGCCATCTTAAGAAAATGCTCGGCCATTTGTGGGTCTTCACCAACGGCCTATTAAGGAACATCAAACGGCCAATTCTGAAATGGCTCTTAGGTATGGCATTGCTTTGCAATTCTCTGTGCTTCAGTGGGTTGGGGTTGCCTTTTGAAGGTCTTGGCCAATAGCTCTGAGAGCTTTTCAGCAAGACTACATTTTCACAAACCCTGGGCTGCCCACCATGGTGGGGCGCAGCAGCACGTCCGCGTAGCCGCTCTGGTGCACCGCGCGGGGCGTCCGGGAGTTGTTCACCTCGTCGAAGCCCTCCACGGCCTTGTTCTGGTTGTACTCGCGGCCCTTCAGCAGGTCGTGCACGGCCACGGTGCGGCCGTAGTAGTTAATGTCGTCGCAGCGCTGGCCGTTGGCGAAGATCTGGATCCTCTGGATGAAACAGGCGGGGTTCGGAGTGGCCGGCGCCAGCGGGTTGGTGGCGTCCGTGTTTCTGACTCTGAAGGCGATCTTGATCGACTCGGGGCCGATGAACGAGGTACCGCTGGTCAGCGGAATGCGGCAGACCCTCGAGGTGGCGGGGGAGAAGGAGCTCAGCGAGCTGGGGAAATACTGCACCGTGCCGCGCGGTCACGTAGTTGGTGTTGCTGGTTTTCAGCTTGTAGTCCAGGCTCTGCATCAACTCATCCTGTGCTGCTGTGACTACCTCCATGCTTCTTTACAAACTAAACGCATTTTCACTCGTACGGCGAAGAAAGCTGTCCTCGCCCATGTCTGAAAAGGCCTAGGTACCCTCGACCATTCTAAGGAAACGCTGGACCATTTTAGGGTTCTTACAAACGTTTGTTCAAAATTCGTCAAGCGGCATTTTCCGAAATGGCTGTTGTCATGGCCCGGTCGGCTTAACGCTCGCTCTTACGAGTGCGTGTTGGCGCAATGGGCGTCTTACAGCAGTCTCGGAGAAGCTGGAGCGTGGACAAAGCGTGGACAAAGCGTGGAAGAACCATTTGTGGGCGTCACTTCTGGGAGTGGAACATCCATTTAGGGGAGTGGACAAACCGTGGACATCCAGCCGAATGCCACCTCAGCCTGAAAGGCGTGCAAGTTAAAGTGGCGGAGCTGAAGACTACAGAGGTCAACTGCGCGACCTTTTCAAAGACAAAAGGCGATTCCAAACGAGCCTAGCTTGAAAACGGGCTTGCGTGATGGCTGGACTACGGCCGCGGTTATTTTTTTGGCTAACATCGAGCTCCACAAATGGTTGTCCAAAGCTACTGAAAACTCGGGTTTTTCTTTTTTAGGTCCTTCGACAAACAGCCAGTCAAAGGAATTTGGAAGTTTAGGGAGTCAAATTCTGGCTTGACTAATGTGAGCTTGCGGCCTATATGATTGCCAGCTTTGTGTGGGGGGGGGGGGGTTCTTGCTTATTGGCCAACATGGTAGTCCAGAAATGTGGTCTTACTTATTGGCCAACATGGGAATCCAGAAATGGCTCTTCGGAACCAGTGAAAACATGCATTCTTGCCACAAATGGCTCTTCGACAAACGGCCTTTCTGAAAAGGCCTTTTGAATTCCAGGGTAGTGTTTCTTCAAGAGGCAATAGCCAAAAAGAACTAATTGCTAAACAACATGCAATGTTTAATGAGCAGGTTCAATTTAATGGAGCCTTCGACCATTCCCGTGGGTGCATTGAATACAAAGGGGCGGTCAGGTTGTGGAGTGTCCATGGGCGCGTTGGCGGAGCACTGCGCCTTCGATAACAACGTGGGGGCGGAGCCCTGCCGTCGGAAGTTTGGCCGGGAGGAGCGCCATGCGAGTCGGCTATCGGTTGGGCAAGAGGATATTTTGGTGACGCGTTTGTTGTGACCGTGTTGTCCAGTTGTCAGGGATGTAGTGGCTTTACAGGTTTTGACTCTGACATTTGCACCTGTGGACCGAATCAAGTTTGGATAGCGACGTGAAAGAAGGGACCACAGATCGCCCATCAAGACACGCAGCTGTGTGGCCAAGAGTCCAGCGGGCATATGCGTTGTGCTAAGCGTGGCTCCGGCCTTGCTTGATTGCTCCAGCTGCTTTGAGCGCAGTTTTGTTCAGGACTTTCATCGTGGCTTCAACTTCCTCATGGACTCCATGGAGTACCTGGGATTTACCCGTTCCCAGGTTGCAGCATGCAACTGGCTGCTCCTTCCACTTGCAAAGGCTCTGAAGGCATCCTCTCCAGTGGCAGCTCGCTCCAATGGAGTACAGTATAGATCTCTCGGGGATTGCTTCTTCTATCGTTCGACTACGACTGTCATGACATCTGTTTGAAAAATCATCGGCAGCATTGACATCGCTTCGTTGGGTCTTAACCAGTGCCTCCAGCTTTGACCTGGCCAAGCGCATGAGTGTCCCACGGAGAAGCATGGCTTGGTCAGTACTTGGCTGGGTATGCCATGGTGCAAGTCGCATGAGTCACTGACACATGATTCACATCATCGGCAGTGTGCTGTTGGTTGAGCAAGACATGAGGGGACCACCCAAAGTACCCACGACTGAGGGGGGGGGGCCACCAAATCCACGTATTGAGGCGCCATCAGCGGACTGCGGCTGGACGACAGTGGGGCACTGCTGAATGGAGCCCACCGAGTGGCCGCTGCACTGGCTGCTGGCATGGAGGCGGTGCCTGTGACGCCCACTGCGCTGCATGACCGGGAAGACGGTCGCAGCAAGTTGTCCTTTTCATTTTTCCGGCCGTCAGACATGGGCGACTTGGCACCCGTTTGCGTTCTCAATGCTTCCCAACTAATGCAAAGCTGGCCTTGCCAAGAAAACCGTCCAGCGAGCGTGTGAGCGCACGTGCGCGCACATGAGACCCGTCGACTTAATGCCATTGATTCAGATTTGCTGAACAATCCACTTAACCCAACTTTGAATCCACCTAAATCCACCTAATCCACTTTCAATCCACTTTGAATCCACTCAAATCCACTCGAATCCACTTGATCTTCAATCCACTTGAATCCACTGTATGAGGCAACAGCCTCGTGTGGCAAGTTCGGAGTTTACTTGTAAGCAAGGGCTCTTAGCTGCGACAGGAATCACTGTAGAAGCCGGTGAAGAGCATCCATTCCATTTGATCTCAGAGCAAACCTGGAAGCTTTTCAACAGCACGCCTAGACTGCCATCCCAAATGACACCTTGATCCAAGATAGCTGAATCCTAGAAGGATGTTCCTGAAATTAGGTGCTCTTGGGCTTGCCAAACACGATGCGGCAGGACGGAATTACAGGTGGAGTGGACCAGACCATTATGCTGCCGAACCTGGCTTCTTGCCATGCTTGCCCAGGTGGTTTGCGGCGGAGCGGTCAGTCTCAACAGAGATTGAGATGGCGGGTAGTCATTACGATCACTAATGGCTTGAGGGGTAGGCCTAGTTGTTTTCTTCAGCCAATCCTAAGCATCTTGAGCAAATGCTCACGCTCCATGTGTGGCTTCTGCCATGTTGCGTGGGATGCGGCCTGAGAGCCTCAGGTTCGGCTCTATGGCCAAGCCGAGGGCCGGTCGATAGCAGCTGCCCTATTGCTGGAACTGATGCGGTGCCAGCGCCATCCGCAGCTTTGCCCGCAAAGTGGGCCAGCGGCCATGCAAGATGTAGACGCCACGAAGTCACTAAGTTCTTGGGAACTGCCCCAAGAAAGTTAGACCGACCGTTTCCGTGCTCATTGACGCACGCGACAGGTGAGGAAAGCCGGTTGCCAGCACTAGGCCAGTTTGCAGGCTGGGGGTAAGTCACGACTTTCCACCTTTCGTGACTCTTAGGCAGGCGCTCCGTGAGCTGGGGGCCGCCTTGGTGTGGCCGGCTGCAGCACTGCACAACTTCACGCCCACTGTGGCGCCTCGGTCTCAAATTTCATCAGGTCTTGGGTTCGCCACAAGCTTCCACGGGCCTCCATATGTCGGGACCGGGAGTAAGCCTTGATCGCTTGAATGTTCAGGAAGCCGAGCTTTTCGAGCACTTTTTCGTGGTGATGCCATACTGGGAGGCTGGCAGCCATCGCATTCTTCACTTGTGGCATTTGATTTCGGCCCATGTTTGCCCTCACTGCCAGGTAGACTGCACTGCCTCCACCAATCCCCAACGAATCACGAGCCTACCAACATCAAAGCTTGACAGTAAGCTGCAAGGCATGTTTGGCCAAGCAGTCTTTCTGAGATGCGTTTGAGATGCAGGACGTGGCCATTGAACCCGTGTGATTCAGATGCGGAGGTTCACTTGGAGACACATGCCTGCTTCAACGTGGTGCAGCAACTCTACATCTCCCACGACTGGTCCAAGCAGCCAGAGTTTGTCCGGGCCAAGGCTCCAGGGATAATTTATTTCTGCAATGGTGCAGCGCAGCGCCGCGCGAGAATGACATTCTGGCTTGCTTGTGCTCTCTATGCTTTGCATCCAGTGAACCCAAGAGGAGTGATGCAACATTTTGCCCATTGAAGCTCAGTTGTCAGCCAGCTGTTTGCTCGTTGACCATGTCTTCACAGCCAGATGCGATGTGTTCCTGTGAGGCGAAGGATGCCTGTGGTGGTGACTATGCTGCGAAAACGACAACGGCGAGCCTTTTTGCCTGGAACCCATGAGATCCTGAAGTTTGGGTGGTTTGAACACGATAGTATGCTAGTTGAGGTGTCTATTTGTGGGATAGGCTCTATGGCTGAACCCATTTTCTGTTGGATGCACAAGCCAAACGACATCGCACGGGCCTGCCGAACACCTCAATGTGTCATGGGTCTAATGGCTGCTGACATTTCCCCTTCATTTTCATGCCGAATACATGGATGGGTGGCTGCACATCAACTTGGTGGATTTAGGTCTTTGAGATGCAGAAGAATGAAGCGCCGGTGTTGGAGAAGGCGGAGGGGCTTAGCCAACACGCTGCACCACTGGATCATCCATTGCTTTCAGCTGGAGCAGTTTTGTGACCAACATGAAAAATAGCGATACTGTTTGGGAGATCCTGCATGTAGGAGCCATTCTGCGTGAATGGGGAATGGCCCAGGAGACGGGTTAGGCATCAAAAAGCAACTTATTAGGCATCAACAAAAACCCATATGCTCATTCCTCTGGGGGGAAGGAAGGAAGGAAGGAAGGAAGGAAGGAAGGAAGGAAGGAAGGAAGGAAGGAAGGAAGGAAGGAAGGAAGGAAGGAGGAAGGAAGGAAGGAAGGAAGGAAGGACCCCCCCCCAACCACCCCGCTGATTTGTAGAAGGTTGACAGTGATTAACGCACCCTTTGCTGAATCATCACTTCTTCGATCATCATCACCCTTTGTTGAACTATCACTTCTTCGAGCATCATGGGGCCCCCCCCAACCCCCCCGCTGATTTTCAGAATGTTTACAGAGAATACCGCACCCTTTGCTGAATCATCACTTCTTCGATCATCACCACCCTTTGTTTAATCATCACTTGTTCGAACATCACGGGGGGGGCTGCCGGCCCCCCCCCAACCCCCCTGCTGATTTGTAGAATGCTTATAGAGCTTAACGTGCCCCTTGTTGAATCATCACTTCCTCGAACATCATGGGGGGGGGCTGCCGCCCCCCCCCAACCCCCCCACTGATTTTCAGAATGTGTACAAAGCTTAACGCATCCTTTGCTGAATCATCACTTCCTCGATCATCACTCTCTTTCTTTCTTTCTTTCTTTCTTTCTTTCTTTCTTTTTCGCTCTCTCTCTCTCTCTCTGCTTTCTCCCTTTGTCATTTATATCTCTGTATATTGTTCTTCACTGCTTGCGAAAATGCTGCGCCTGCGTCAAACTCTGCACCGTACCTTGCGAAAGTGCTGCTGCCTGCCGCGAAATTGGTACCTCTTGCGAAAGTGTTGCGCCTGCCGCGAAACCTGGACCGCACCTTGCGAAAAGTCCTGCACCTGCCGCGATTGCTAAAGTGCTGCGCCTGCTGCGAAATCTGTACCTGACCTTCCGAAAGTATCGTGCCTGCCACGAAATCTGTACCTGACCTTGCGAAAGTGCTGCGCCTGCCGCGAAATCTGTACCGCACCTTGCGAAAGTGCTGCGCCTGCCGCGAAATCTGTACCTGACCTTGCGAAAGTGCTTCGCCTGCCACGAAATGAATAATGTTTTTTTGATCCCTAAACATGTTTTTTTGATCCTCTGATTTTTCATTTTTAATAGTAAATCAATGAGACTACGTTTTTTTGATCCCTAATGGGTGGCCACGGTTAGGTTCGGTTCGGTTCGGTTTCTGAAACCTTTTGAAAACCTTTCTCCGGTTAGTGGCGGTTACTCATAACCTTCCAAAACCTGCCGGTTTGCACGGTTAGTGCAGACAAGTAAGATAAGGCTCTAGGTAACTCAGTCTGCTTTCGCCCACACTTCGCCAACTTCCACATCTCTGGCATCGCCACCCATCTGACATCGCCATCCCACACCACACACACAGACACAATTACACACACAAACGCAAACAAACAAAAAAACAAGCAAACAAACAAGCAAGCAAGCAAGCAAGCAAGCAAGCAAGCAAGCAAGCAAGCAAGCAAGCAAGCAAACAAACAAACAAACAAACTCACAAACACAAAAACAAACAAACGAACCATGCCACTGACTGATGCTGAGCATGTTGTTCCGCGCACGTGGCCTTGGGAAGCATCTCAGAAGTCAAAGCTCAAAAGCGGAAAAAAAAACAAGTCACTGACCGCTGATGGGTCACTTTTTTTGCTTGCCAAATTTCAGCGGTGTTTCGTGTGTTGCGAGCACTGCGGAAGCAAAAATCAGAACCAGAAGCGGCCAATCATGCGGGTTTGTTGCCTTGACACGTGCAGCAAAGGGGCCTCAGCTGCGGTGGCCTGCTAAGCGTGCCAAAAGTTCTGGCAATCAGGCTGGTGGGGCGTTGGGGAACGGCAGGGCAGGCCCAGGGCAAGGCGGCAAGGCGCCGGGAGAGCAAGCCCTTACAGTGACAGCGGGCAACTCAGTTTTTCTCCCGTTCGGCTCGCGAGAAACTGTTCCAATCCAAGCCGGGCTGCGCAAAAAAAACAACCCACTGACCGTCAGTAAGTTGTTGTTTTTTTCGCGCTGCTGGCGCAGCCAGGCTGCAACAGGGTGCTCGGGCAATCCTGCGGGAGCAGGGGGAGTTGGTGAGACAGGTCGTCAGGTTGATGCTCGGACATGTAGCTATTCCGAGAGTCCAGGCAAAGTTTGCGAAATCCCCTTGCTGCCGCTTTCGAACGGGATCCCGTGGCGGTGCTGTTGGCGATGCTGTCTGCGCCAAAGCCGTCACTGACCGCTCGTGGGCCGTTTTTTTTTTGCGCGGTGTTTTGTGTGTTGGAACCAGAAGCGGCCAATAATGTAATGCGGGTTTGTTGCCTTGACGCGTGCAGCAGAGGGGCCTCAGCTGCGGTGGCCTGCTAAGCGTGCCAAAGTTCTGGCAATCAGGCTGGTGGGGCGTTGGCAGGCCCAGGGCAAGGCGGGAAGGCGCCGGGAGAGCAAGCCCTTACAGTGAACAGCGGGCAACTCAGTTTTCCTCCCGTTCGGCTCGCGAGAAACTGTTCCAATCCAAGCCGGGCCGCGCAAAAAAACAACCCACTGACCGTCAGTAAGTTGTTGTTTTTTTTCGCGCTGCTGGCGCAGCCAGGCTGCAACAGGGTGCTGGGGCAATCCTGCGCGGGCAGGGGGAGCTGGTGAGATAGATTGATGCTCGGACACATAGCTAGTCCGCCAATGCTAGCAAAGTTTGCGGGTTCCATGGCCGTGCTGTTGTCTGCGCCAAAGCAGCCCGAAAAGACAAGATCACTGACCGCTCGTGGGCCATTTTTTTGTTTGGGCTTGCCAAATTTCAGCAGTGTTTCGTGTGTTGCGAGCACTGCGGAAGCAAGAAGCAGAAGCGGCCAATTTTTTGCTTTGACGCTTGCTGCCCCTGCAAACCTGGGGATGGTTCGGTTTCTGTTCGGTTCGGTTCGGTTCGGTTTGTGGCTTGTTTCGGTTTTCTTGCGGTTTTGAAAACCGGTTCGGTTAACCGGTTTCCGGTTCGGTTTTCAACCTTCCTGTTTGTTGATCTTCAGAAATAAGTTTTTTTTGATGCCTAAAAAGTGTTTTTTGATCCCTCACCCCCAGGAGACTACTGCAAAAATGTTCTTTGCCTCAGTGGTGACATGCCAGCAAGCAAAGCAGAACACTGGCAGAATGCACCAATTGAATTTCCCGCATGCAGGGCCATTCACTTTTTTTTGCTTCTTCAGTTGTACACATGTCTAAGGAAGCAAGAGCAATTTGAACATATCCGCAGTCGTGGGAAGTTCAAGTAGCTGATTTGCATCTCGCATGGATTGGTGTTGGAGAGGTTTCGATCCCTCAGGTGAAGTCCAAGCTCCGGGATCATCACTCCTTGGGGTCCAACGCCCTCTTCCTTTCTGCTGGCCCAGCGGCTGCTGCGGCCATAGGGATGCTGCGGCACTGGCTTGTTGTGGGGACACGTTGCATCCCAAAAGGGCTATGCCCAGAGCCACAATCGAAGCCTGGTAAAGCTGTCTACCCAGAACTCATGGTAAAGAACTAAGGCTATCTGCACCCATGGTCTTACCACACATCATCTACCAGGTTTTTGATTGTCTCATGACCGCGCGATCTTGTTGAGTGGAGGATGTTTGGTGCAGCCGGGATCGAGCCCTCGGTTCTCTCTGATGTTTGTTTGGCCAGGCATGGACCCACCCTGGACTTCCTGACTTTGGCACCAGGTGTGAAGCTACCCGAGCTCGAGCGCCTGCCAGGTCGGCATGGGGCTGACTTTGGTACTTGGGTCCGTGTAGCTCCCAACTCCAAAGTGCGAGCCTGTTGCTGCCTCACAATTTTAGGCGGTGAAGACGGATCAGCCTCCCACAAAAGCAGAGCACCATGAATCGCTCCAGCTAGGTTGAACGAACTTCATTCAGATTCATTCAACGTTGTTTCGGTTACGGTTGTATATGAGAAATGCTGCAGCGGGACGTTGCGATCATTCTCTTGGATATATTTTTACCTTTTTTCCGGACTCGTTTACCAAATCACCGCTTGATAATGGGGCTCTCTCACGAAAATCCAAATGTTTAAGCGCACAGTCTGTATTGGCGGCGGCTCACATCTTGGGAGCAGATGCAAGTAGCCATTCTTTTCTGGCTAACGGATGCCATTGTGTCCCATAGCCCGCTTGTGGTCTCAGATGCGCGGTCCCGGTGCCTTCTGGGGGACTCCGCGGTGATGGCGCTGCTGAAGCTGCGGCCGCTGCAGCAACTGGAGCTGCTCTGCGATGGGCCCTGCCCCAAGGACCGGCGACCGAACTCCGTCAAAGGCTTGGCTTATCCATTTTTGAATTTTGAGGCACTCTGCTGAGCTGTTGCCATGGCTCAACTTATGTAGACTCGCACGGCATCAAGAAGCGTGACCCAGTGAAACTCCCCAAGCCATGCAGCAAGAATATTGTGCCCCAGGTGAGTAGCGTAATTTGCTCCGGCCCCCTTTCGGGCCGGGAGCCGATAGGCGCTTTCGAGTGGGCCCTTTGTCTTTGCTTTTAATGGCTTGAAAGATTTCCATGAGGGTACGGGTACTTTCATCCGCTTGGCTACAGAAGACATCGGGACTCGCAATCTTTGCTGCCCACATTGTTGCCGTTGTTGCCACCTTCCGCGCAATCAGTTCCCTGCGCTCCAGGGATTGGATTGGTATCGAGGCAATCCCAGGTGTTGCCTTTGGCAAGTCGCTTTTGATTCTTTGCACATCGCGTCAGGACTCATTTCCTGCTTGGCCATCTCCTTTCTGCAATCTTGCTCACAGGGCTTGCATGGCACCCCAAATTTGACAGGGCTGAAAGAGGCATAAGAAAGACTTCAGGCAGACTAGACTTCGAGACGAGATGAGGCTGTGTCTCAAAGTCAGAACATGCAAGCGACTTCCTTTCCGAAATATCCCGGTTCAGCAGGAAGTTTGCTGGGTTTCTACCCATTGGCCAGGATCCGCTGGTGGTTGATCACAGCACCGAGCTCCTTGCCTTCCATGTCGTTGAGAGTTGCAAAAGCTGTACGAAGTGCGACCAACTTCAGTCAGAACCCCCCACAGGTGTCGCAATCGACGGCAGATTTGCTTCTCGCTATCAACATGTGAGCCATGTAGATCCACAGGCCCTGGCGGCACTTCTACGGGGAGCTGGCAGACTTGGTGCATGACCCCTCCAAGCACTTCTTTGCGCAGGGCTGGCGCTTGCTGGCGATTCCCCAATTGCGCCGTGGCTGGAGGGGGTTCGACTGCTCAGTGTGGGTAGCGTTCCCTAGATTTGCGCTTGGATCACTTGGATGCCAGGAGTTGCCACAGATGTTTCTGCCTTTGGCTTTTTGCTTCACAGTTTTTGTCCCAGCCATTTGGCGTGAGTGCATCCCCACGTGTACCAAGTGCAGCGCCTGCATCGTGAGCTTAGGATCGCCTTCAAGGAAGCTCGTTTTGCGGAGCTTTGCAAGGGCTCTACATGCGACTTCCACCATGACATGGAGGAAGTTGCCATGCTGAGGAGTTTATATGGCGAGCGCCTGAAAAGCGCTTGAGGTGCTTCCGGTCGTTTTTGACTCATTTCAGTAAGTGTTGTGTTTCTTTGCGCGAGGCAAGTGCACCCAGCGATGCCCCAAACTTGGACAGGGATCCAAATTCAACATATTCTCCATGAGGCTTAGCGCATCACAGTTCATTTTAAGTCCAGTGACATGTTGCTAGGCAAGTCCTTTGCAGTTCTTGCATTGCTCCCTTTCAAAGTGCTCAAAGTTGGCACTGCAGCCATGGCTGCTGCCATGCCAGGCTACGGCCACAACGAAGACTCCGAAGAGATGCGAGAGGAGCCGCATGTGTCATCCTAGGTTGCCTTACCAGTAGCCTGTAGAGGTCATTTACTCGGAACAGGCTGATGAAGTGATGATTAGACTAGAGCCTTCGATTTGATGAATCTGGACGTGTGCAGGATGTGAAGTCGCTTCAGAAGAACACTCTAGAGTTCAGCACTCAGCAGAGTTTGCAGATTTCCAGCATCGCAGAGAGGGTGGATTCGGCACTAGAAGTGTTTTCGGAATTGCTCCAAGCGTCTTGGTGTGAGGCTCTGCCGCAAGATGAAGGCTGTACCCAACGTGGTGCAGGCACGGCCATGAAAGAGATTGGGCTGGCGGATCCTTGATTTGCCCTTGATTTTTTGCCGCATGCTTGCCAAAGTGCAATATCCGCACTGCGAGACATGCGACTCAGCTAAGGGTGGTTGGCATGGGCCTAGCGAAGACTTAATGGGCTTTCAACCATTGGGTTCGCATGTCGAAAGTGCCAGGAGCTGCGGAACTTTCAGGACCGCGAGTCTCGACCCGCGGCTATGATACAGCCAAACCCTCAGAGATTTGAGATGACCGGCGTGCAGTCTGCCCTGAGCCTTTGGAGATTTAATGAATTTAAAGAATGAAGTATGGTTCATGCCGAGTTCAGAGTGGGATTTGCTTGTTGGCCAGACCGCAAATCTTGGAAAGCCTGAAGGCAATGTTCCAGTTTGGGAGACAATGGGAGACCCTTTTGCCTGGCGCTTTTATGTAACGGGAAACCAGCCAAAAAGGAAGCCTACAAAAGACTTGAGATCCGCAGATCTTGAGACAATCCTGACAGTCCCGTCAGCCTGAGCCTGGGGTACTTTGACTCGTAACATAGGCGATTTTGCAGGATGGACCGGGTCAGACGGTCTGTCAGAGATTGCTGAGCTGCTTGTTGCAACGTGTGTTGTTCCCCGCCTGCCGCACTCCTACTGTTGGGGGGCTTGAGTTCTGCAACCGATGCCACCAGCCTGAGGTTCCTCAAAACCTTGGCGGACATGCAGGAACTGACGCTGAAGCGTGGTGCCCCCAAATTTGGGGCAAGATGGGCAAAGGGCATGAAGGACTCTTGCCAAGTTTGAAAGTCAGGCAGAGTGTTAGACCTGGCAATTCTTGCAAGGAGAGGCTTGCCAGGTGGTTCTACTTACCTGGACCACTCTGGCCCAAGCCCTCCCCGTTGCAAGGTCTAAGCACCACCGTTGAGGAGGAGAAGAGCCGGCAAGAGCTCTTGGAGCCCAGATCTCAATTTCTGTAGCAAGCCGCTTAGCCGCTTAGCCGCTTAGCCGCTTAGCCGCTGCAGCTTAGCCCATGCCTCTCTTCCGTGCGTTGCGAAGCAGTAGACTGCCCAAGGCACTACAAGAGCCGGGAAGCTGAGGCATGGGATTGGCTGCTTTTAAATGTTTGACTGGAATTGACAGGGATTGACAGGGATTGATAGGGATTGACAGGGATTGGCGGTCCTGACGGGAAGCAAGCAGCGTTTGCAAGTACCGTCGCACAGTCATCGGTTCTTGGGTTAGCCTGGCTCAAATTGCAAGGTGCACTTTCATTTGGTAGCTCACTTTTGCTGGAGAACATGCCCATCCGTGTCGGCTTTCTGATCGGGAAGGACACGGACTTGGTGGAGGATGCAAAATATGTTGGCGATGCATCATTTTTGAACGACATGCCCGACAAGTATCGAGTCGACCCGAAGAGCAAGGAGTACTTGAAGGATTGTGAGGAGGGCACAAAGGGGTTCGCTCACGCGGACGTAGCTATCCCCTGGTACATCCAGAAGCACCATGAAGACATTGAGGTAGACATGATCTTTCCAGAGGACATCTCGAAGAAGCGCTTGCAGTCCAATGTGTGCAACTTCGTGATTGGCTACGATGTCATCAACACCATGTTCGAAAGCAGCAGCAGGCAATCAGCAGTGACCAAAGCCTTCAAGCAATGCGGCAACATCATGCCCAGTTGGAAGGTCCAGGACTTCATTTACATGAAATCGAAGTACATGAAGGCTTGCTTGAAGTCTGGTATTCCGATGGCCCCTACCATTTTTGCCCTCAAGGACAAGCGAAGCCCTGCAAAGCTGCTGAAAGAAATCAAGGCACGTGGCTGGAAGACCTTCGTCATGAAGCAATCCATGATGGCGTTCTCTTTGGGCTTCTGCAAGCTCAAGGTTGAGGACTGCGAGAAGGATCCTTCCATCCTCAAGAAGTACTTCAAGGAGTACGCAAGCTGCCCAGAGTACGTCGTTCAGGAATGCATCGAGGGATTCAGCCGGAACTGGGAGACCAGAGTCTTCTGGTTCAATGGCGAGTTCCTGTATGCCATTGCCAACAAAGCTGCGGTTTCCACCGAGGACGGCCAGGAGGTCATTATCACAGGCGATGACATCCCAGCTGAGTTTCTGGACAACGCCAAGAGGATTGGCAAGGCAGCCCTGGAGGTTTTGCCTCAGCTGACGACTCCATCGGGGGCGCCTATCCCCATGACGTTGATTCGCACAGACATCGGATGCTCGGACAGCCAGGTCTATGACAAGGACACAAATTGGGATCCCAGCAAGAGGACCTTTTTCTTGAACGAGATCGAGTATGGTGGGACCACATACTTCATCCGCCATTTGAAAGAGGACTTTGTACCGAAGTGGGCTGAACTTTATGCCAAGAAGGCTCGTGAGATTTCGGCCCTTGAGGAGAAGGATGCTGAAGAGCCTCCAAGCAAGAGGGCAAGGACAGGTGCGGCGATGAAGCGTCCGGCTGCTGCAAAGGCAAGTGCTGCCGGTGCATGACTTCAATACACCTAGGTTGTTGGCTTTGCCGCTGCCTGATGTACAGCACTGGCAAAGCTGTCTCTTGCGATTGTTTCAGGACATGCTGCGTGGGCGCCTCGTCCATGTCATGCAGTCTGAAGCAGACGGCCTTGCGTTTGAGATTAGGGATTGCAGCACTGCTGCGGAAGCTGACGGCAGCTCTTTGGGGCACAAGGTCTAAGGACCTGAACGATAATGTGACCCGGGGAATCCTGGGATGGGGGAAAACAACTGCTGCGCACGATTGCGGTGTGCCAAAGGGCTGGATGATGTTAAGGGCTCTTGCAAGGAATGCTAACGGCCTCAAATGGCGTGAAGGTGCATTTACGTTTTAGAATGTCAAGGACTGTTGCCAAGTGCCGAAGTGTTGTAGCCTTATTGGGAACGGACAAGTTTCCCATTTCCAATATTGGATAACCTTTGTGGACGCGCCTCAAGAATGTCCAAAGGTGATATGTGAGTCTCCCGCACCGCAGGCCAGCGCTAGACGACAGCAGCTGGACAGGGACTTGGCGCACATTCGCCCGTCACTCAAAATGCGAAGCTTGAAGAGGATTCTTTCAGCCTTGACTGCACAATGCGCAGGCGGGCATGTCAAACCCACAGTGATGTCTTGCTTGTGCAGCCAAGCTTGTCTAAATTAGCCCCGGGGACAGGGCCCTGGCAGAGTAGGCTTGGCTGCAAGGTCTCCCGTCTCTGGGTTGTCATCATTTAGTTTGCGGCCCTTGGAGAGTGGAGCTAATTTTCTAGGGGCCTGTTCGCAACGTGCACTTAGCCTTTCTCCCGATTTTGCATGTTACTCAACACCTCAAGGATGACGCGCACACACACACACATTTGCGCTCAGCTGTTTGCTTGATGAGTTACAGCTGATTTCCATTGCTGTTTCACATCGGCCAGCATGTCACTCAGCCCAGGCCGTGAGTGCGAGCGTGCACAGTCCCACCGTGCCCTTGGCATGACTTTGCATGACATTTGAGGCAATGAACTGAACTCACAGTTCAATAGATTGAGCGGGCCAGTGTGCTTCTGGTGTTGGCATGAATTCGGGATGTCTGAAGCTGACAGGCAACGAAATCCTCACAAAGCTGAAGGCTGATCTCATCAATGTCAAGGCATCGCTCTCCAGCTCCTTCATTGCAAAGGGCCCAGACAAGCAGCAGTTACTCCTTAAATAGGTCCAGCAGAATTTGAGTGCCGCGTTCAAAATTCCAAGATGCCATGCTTGCCCTGAGACAGTTGTACGGCATGGAGCATCATGCTCAGTTTTGTTTTTTCTTCCTTTTTGCTGAGATACACACAGTGTGACTAGCCAGGACACAAAGACGGACAAGATGAACGCGCTGAGGCTTCGGCGTGACATGTGCATTGGGTTGGGTTGCGAGATGTGGCCGTTATTGTGTGGAGGAACAAATACGAGCAGCGCATGAAAGAACACCAAGAGGCGTGCAAAGCTTAGAGGCGATGCATCATGTCACATTGGCATTGCATGGTACTAGTGTACAACGCTTGAGCTGGCTCCACTGGATTTCTTGTTTTTACACGAGCAACTCCCCAGCCCGGCTGCAGAAATTTGAAGGAAGTTTCTGCGTTGTTCTTGAGGTGCAGGGCTCTCCCCAAGTCAACCAAATGTGTGGCGGACGAGGGCCGCGTTTTGCTCAGGTTTGAGGCTAAGAGGGACGAGTTGCAGAAGAAGATTAATACCCTCACAGCCAGAAACTCGGGCCAGCACTCCCTGGGTTTGGACCCAGGCCCGCTAACCGCTAGTGGGGTGAGCCTTTTGCAGCATGTGTTTCATCTTGAGATGCACACACGCTCTCGAGGAATCCAACAAGAAGCCGGGATCTCAGAGTGGCCAATAGCCGTCGGCTTGTGTAGGGGGAGCTGGCTTGGGCCTCCAATATTCGAATCTATGGATGCACGAGCGAGGCTCAAGGGCCAATCCCTGGATGAAGAGATGGATCAGATCCGCAAGGCTGGGTGGCTTTCACAGGGCCGGCATGGCCCGAGTTCCTCATCCAATTTGAAAGCTTTTTTTTCGGAATGTCACCTCCATTCAAACACAAAGGGCGAAATGATGTGAACATGCCGCATACGATATGCAACACGGCATGTCGAAGGCCCTCCTGTGGCCCTTCTCCCGTTGGGGTTCTCAGATGCGGCCCTTTGCCAGGCCAAGCGCTACGAGATGGATGTGGATGGCGCGACGGCCTCGGCTTGCTGGGCTGTTGGTCTTGGGAAAACGCAGAGGGAAGGCAAAGGCAAATGTCTGAAATTTGCTTCTTGAGAGGAGGCATCGCTGGGGATGCACATGCACATCTTGGATGGTGGTCCCAGGTCATCACGCGGTATGACACGGAGGTCAAGGAGTTGGCCAAGAACTACAGTGGGGGCACCTATATAATTTGCTTGCCTAGGAAACATGACCATGTATCTTGGCCTTGGTAGTGGTGACTTGTTGAGCAGACCTTGTCAATGTTGTGCAGTTGTAGTTTGTTGGCACAGGGCGGAGGACAGGCTTTCAATCAGTTGCAGCCCATGAAGTTGCCAGCCAGTTTTGAATACCAGCGCTGCGATAAGCGGTAGGGTTATGCGGTTGTCCTGACGCAATCTGATCTATCCAGGCGAGAATGCGGAGCATTTGAAGAAGGCGTGGCTGGTGCTTGCAGGGAGTGCTGTTTGCACTTGCTTCGCTTTCGTTTTATCAATATTCATGATGACAAGACAACTCTTCTTGTGGGGATGTTGCTATTCCCCGATGGGAAAGCAATGCCCACAAGTGGGAAATGAAGCCTTAAACCAGCTCAATTTATAGTCGGCAGGAGCAGAGACAACTCGGAGACCTGCGAGAGCACTTTGAGAAGGCACCAGTTTCAGCCCGAAGTCATCGCACCGTGTGACGGACTTGATTTGGCACATTTTGGCACCTGGGGCTGGAAGCGAATGGTATCAACTGGCGGTAGCTGGCGCCACAACAGCGTTGTATGGGCAGGTGGAGGAGGAGAAAGCCTGTATCGCCGCAGAGGAGGCAGACGTGCCAAACAGTTTGTGCTGGGAGCCGAATGGACATGCACCCTTTACAGAGAAATGATCGCAACTGTTGGTTCTGTCTTCAACAGGGCCCACAGGCTAAGCAGGAGCACAAAGCTAAGTGTTGGCTGTGCGCAAGTCAGACATTCATTGCAGCGACACTGGCAACCTGTTACATTCGCTGCCAGTTGGTGGCGGCTGCGCGGAAGCAAAAGAGTGACAACGACAAGAGGACGAAGAACGAGCTCGAACCTCAGGGCCCAGAGTTGGGCCGAGCGATCGCTTCTCGCATTTTGGATTGCCCAGAGTGAGTGCTGGTGACATGTCGACGCACGTGATCTTGCCCCGAACTCTAGAGTTTGAGTGCTGCAAGGCACGTTTCCTTTCAACACTTTCTAGCACAGCGCATTCTTCTCACAGGTACGAACTGGAGGGAGAGTTTTGGCCAGAAGTTCTGGCTTGGATTTGTGTGGAGATTCTAATCTATTCATAATTCTTGGCCCAGGATGGCCGCCATGCTCCAGGCTCGGGATGAAGGGCTCTCGCCAGATGTGGGGCTTTCACAACAGTTGCCTACAGAGATACCGCCAAACAAATATTTGATGCTTGCTCAGAGGTGTGGCTTTTGGGTTCTCGATGCCATTTGCTTGATCGTTCGCACCTTCTCGGTCGGCACTTTTTCCGTTAGCTTGCAGCCACTTGAAGCGATATCAACAAGCAAGTCTTCGGTGCTACGTGACAATGTGCCACCTCGGCATCACGCAGTACATTGAAGCTTGCTACAAGAACACTGTGCAAGGATGACTCGACGATTGCCCTGCTCAAAGGGTCTAGACATGTAGCGATCGGCACATGTATTTGTGGACTGCCTTGCAGGTGAACTGCCTGTTTTTCTGGTTCTTGGGCTTTGGGCAAAGGCACCCGAATGGTGAATCCCATTCTGAGTGTCCGGGATCTGATGTTCACATTCGCAGATCTTTGCAAAGGCCTTTGCAGGTAAGTGCCTTGCACATCTACAAGACTGTGCTCAGTTCGCGCTTTCGCGGTCTACGGATCCTGAACCCAGACTCTCAGTTGCCAGGCCTACTGGCGGGGAATCCTCAAGCGCGAGGAGTCGGGAGCCAAGCAATACAAGGGTGCCCTGTGAAAAGAGGTTCTACAGGCAGAGCTCTCTTCGGCTTGGGGACAGGCGTGAGCCTCAAGCTATTGCCCTGAATGTTGCCCTTGGGGACATCGGAAGAATTCTCAATTTTAATCACCTGCAGCAAAGAGCGCTGGCCATGCCAATCGAACCTTGGGCTACGGCCACGCAGAGTCCATGCCGCGACATTGCCTGCCAACCAATCCCAAAAAGGCCGAAAGGGCAGGTGGCCTTCCAAAGTGCAAGGCGACAAGCAAGGACAAAAGGATACATGTGGGGCACACTGATCAGTGCCTCGACTTTTGCGTCAGTGTAGCAGCAGATTCTGCCTAGCGCGAAGAATGAACAAACAGAGCACATTTGTACACATTCAAGTTCATGTCTGGCTTTGAAAGTGCAGCTTCCACGGAACAAGTGCCAGATCTGCCAAATTGTCGAGGTGATTGCCATGGGGTCTTGAGACGATAAGGAGCTGTTTGTCGCATTTGATTTGGGCGACTGAAACAAGGGAGTCCTGTCATTCCAAGGTACAAGGAAGAGAAGAAGAAGGCCAAGAAGAAGAAGGGCGGAAAGAAGAAGTGAGAATTTCTTTCCTTAGGCAATTGACACTTGCAGGAAGGAAACTGGCAGGAAGGACAATTCAGCACCCTTTTAGCGCAGCTTTCAAGATTATCAGCTTGATTGAAGAGGCGCACAAGCACGCAGCCAATTTATTATTGCAAGCTCTTTGCCAGGTTTCACAGTGTGTTTCATGACGTTTCACCGGCCTTCGTTGGCATCCTGAGTCTGGCCTGATACGCGGGAGCAG